CATCTTTTCCAGTTCCTCACTTATTTTGAAATCATCTATTCTAGTCTCTTTTATTTTACAGTTGGGCAGGTTGAGACCCAGGCATCTTTGGTGGCTCAGCAATAAAGAATCCACCTGGAATTCAGGAGACAAGGATTCGATCCTTGGGTCAGGAAGATCCCCTGGAGAAGGAAATGGCAACCCACTCCAGTATTCTTGCCTGGAGAATCCCATGGACAGAGGAGCCTGGTGGCCTTCAGTCCATGGGGTCACAAAAACTAAACAATAAAGACTGAGACCGAGGGAGAACCCACCCATTTGTCAATAGCCAGACCAAGGCTCTGGGCTCCCGCTTGGAGCTCTTTCTGCCACTTGGTGCCTGCTCTGACCTGTTCCTCCTGGCAGCCCCATTTCGTTCCTTTTGTCCTTTGCCTGTCATTTGCAGAGCTTTGAGCCCTCCTGCTCCAAGGGGGGAGGGGACTCACCAGCCCTTCTGATGGCTCCCCTGTCAGCACTGCAGGGTCCCTGGAGTGTCTCCTGCTGTCACCTCCTGCCCTAGACAGGTTTAGGTTCTGGGCCAGAGGTGGTTGGAAGGCCCACTAGGGATGAGAGGGATCCAGGGAGAGGGAAGTTGACAGAAGTTCCCGGGCAGAATAATAACAATGTGCCACATTCCAGCCGCAGCCCCTGCTGCGCCTCCCCCATCACTTTGCACAGACCGGCTGCCTAAGGGGCCTCCAGGGTCTGAGCCCCCACTTGCAGGGACTGCTGTGTGCAGGCGGGTGCCCGTCAGTGTCTGTGTAATTAAAAATGAGCATGCCTGACTTCACCCAGTGAAGAGATGCCACCACCTCGGGTGGGATGCAACAGCTGTTTGCTGGCTGTGTGGCTGCCCAGCTGTCCAGACTGGCGTGGAGAAGCAAGTCGGACTGGGCTGCTCAGAGTGAACAGGAAGACCCAGGGCCCCTCACCCCTGTGAGACGGGAGGTACAGGGCTGTGATGGGGTGGAGGCGGACAGAGCAGCTCTCCTTCCTTTCTGGGCCTAGGGCTCCTCTAGCAGATGTATGACCCATGGCTGTGTCCTTTTGGGGATCTGAGGCTGCTTAGCTCTGAGCAGACCCAGGCTCTGGGCATCCAGGTTTGGGACCCATCCTGTCTCCCCGGCTCCTGGCCTGACCTTTTCTGCATCCCTCCCCACCCCTAGCCCAGGCCAGGGCACAGGTTGATGGTCTGAGATGAGAACACAAATGAGGGTGATCCCAGTCCTCTCTCTTTCCTCCCTCCTCCCCTCCCCTCAGTAAGAGCTTTCAGGGAGGTGGTATGGGTCCTGGGGGGAAGCCTTGGCTTGGCATGCCGGTCTTATTCTTTTGCAGGATCCCTGAGCTGTACCCACCCAGGTTGTGGGCTCAGCCTGAGGTGAGGAGGGAGTCTGTGGAGTGTTCCTAAGATGGCTGAGACAGTGGCCCCACAGTAACCTTTGCACGCTGCTCCTTCCCTTGTCAACCGGCATTCCCTGGGGGTGTGATGTCAGTGCAGGCAAGGAGTGGGGAGTGTTGATGCCCGAGGTCTCCTGGAAATCCCTGCATTATGGGTGCTGTCCCAAGTCCCCCTCCAGTTTCTGTTTGTGGAAGGCCCGGGTGGGAGGGAGGCCTCAGAGATGTGTCTGAGGGACTGGAATGCTAAATCCAGTCTCTAGCCATTCCCGGTGGCACCTTGGCATGAATAGTTGACTTCTTCCTGTTAGGTGAGGAGAATTGTAGACACCTCAGTCTCTCCCACCTGGGAGCAAGGCTTTATGATCCCCTCGAGTGTGTGTGGGAGCGAGTTGCCCTGGGTAGTGGCCTCATCACATAACCAGTGGCTTCAGGGGCCAGAGCAGGTTCCCCTGTCCTGGCAAGGCTTTCTCAAGCCTTTGACTATCTGGGCTGTGGGAGCGGGTGTGCCCGGGGCTGGGAAGACTCCAGGCCCATCCAAGCCCCTCCCTCTAGCAGCACCAGCCTGGGGTGGCATTGGCCTCGTGTCCTTGGCAGTCAGCTCTCCAAGGACTCCCTGGTGGGGCCAGCTGATGGAGAGGCAGCTGGCCTTGCCTTCCTCTGATGATTTTCCAGTGTCCACCAGGTCATCACCATGCTGCTAGTGCAGCAAGGACTTGAGAGCTGGCCCCTGGCTCTCCTCTCATCCCTCAGAAGCTGTCCCTGTCTGGGCGGGAAAGGGCTTGTTCTCTCTGCCTGATCACTTAGGGACAGGGCATATGGCCTGTCCTGCCCGCACCCTCCATCCCGGACTCATTGGTCAGTGGGCAGAGCTTGGAAAGGGGCCTCAGCGAGAGGCCACTGGGCAGTTAGAAGCCCTCCACCTGCTTCTGGGCCTGGGCTGGAAGTTTGTGCCTTTGCCTTCTTCCTGCCCCTTCTCTGCTCTGATCCTGAATTTTGACAGGATCCGGCATGTGTTAAAATGATTTAAGGCTGAGCTGTCAGTGAGATTTTAATTAGCTCCATGCCTCTCTCCAGCAGGGAGGGCCAGGGTCCCCCCACCCCCAGGTGGCAGGGGTAGGAATGGGCTGGGTGTGGTATGAGGCTGCCCCTCCAGGGGCCTGGGGACAGGCTTGGGCAGCTGGCAGTCTGTGTGGGATGCTGTGAGGAGGGAACACTGGGCAGGGAAGGAAGGGCCGGCTAGCCCCAGGCCAGTTTTCTCTCCCTCCTCTGTCTCCCCTGTTCCTCTGTTCTCCCGGATGGCTTTGAGATGAAGGCGACTGCAAGGATGGAGGATGCAGTTTCCATGGCAACAGGGCTGTCCACAGCCAGGCAACTTCAGAGCCAGGCTCTCCGGAGGAGGCAGATGCGCAGAACAGCCACAGAGCTGCCTCCCGCCTGCCAATGAGGGGGCTGGCAGAGCAGGTGGCAAGGGTGGCTGCTTAGTGCTACCCCACCCCCCCTCCCCATGCCTAGTCTCAAGGAGAGGGCGGAGGGGCACTGATCCCTCTCATCATCCCTGTCACTTCCAGAAGGAAAGCTCAGCAGGTGGCTTGAGTGTTTGCGAGGGCTGTCCCTAGGATTTCTGGGTGCCCACAGCCTCAGTTCCTGCAAGCATCCCCCAAAGCCAGCTGTCTCCAGCCCTTGAGACTTGGACCTCCAGGTAGTCTGCTGCTCTGATGGCCACTTGGCAGCTTCCTTTTGGACCCTTTGAATGCCCAGAGCATGGCATGTTGGTGAAGGCCATGTCCTGACTGGGTTTGGGGGGCCCTTTTTTTCCTTTAGCTCCCAGGGCATTACCTGGACCTTCTCCAGGGAGCCTCCCTGACCCTGGCCTTGGTGATGTGACCCAGTACACTGAGGGGTTCAGGTTTGGCACGTACTTGCCCCTAAGTACTGGCATTAAAGGGGCCCCAGAGCCTGGTAGCTCCTTATTCCTGATGCTGTGTTCTTTTTCACCCTCCTCCTGAAGACCAGGGCTGGGGCGGCTGTGTGGGTGGGTAGAAAAGCAGAGATAGCCACTCATGTGTTTGGAGATGGGAAGAGCTTGGGCCATGGACTTGTGAGATGACCCAAAGAACACTCAGGTTAGCAAAAAGATCAGACCCAAACTGTTAAAAATAATGACTTACTTTCACTGCTCTTGCACGCATCAGCGCCAGGGTAGCCTACTCTGTTGGAGCGCACAGAGACTTGGGATGAAAGGCCTTGTCCGGGTCTTCCGTGGAGTCACAGGCTGAGCTCCAGCTAGACCCTGGAGCTCAGGACATCCACCCCCACACAGCCTCCAGCCAGCTGCTAAGGGCCCTGGCTGGATAAACCTTCATTCCTTCTCTCTCCCGGGGGCTCATTTTTACCTGTTTCCACTTGCTTCAATTGAAGGGGGTTCCTCAAGCCTCAGCTTGGCCAGGCAGGCTGACAAGTGGAGTCCTGGAGAGGCTTCTCCCCACCAGGCAGTAAGTCTCTCATTACCGCTAAGTGGAAGGCTCATTTCAGAGCTCATGGTGAGAGCCGGCCGGGTGCTATAAATAGCCGTGTTGTGAAGGTTGGCGGGTGAGCAGTGACAGGGCAGGGGCCTGGCCGTCATCTCAGTGGGTAATTGAGCTCTGTTGCAGGGAGGGGGGCGGCTGAGGAGCAGGGTGCACTGACCCCTGTTCTGGTTTGTCTGCCTGTGTCAGGGCATCTCTCTCATGCGTCCACGCCACTTCCACATGCGCTGGGGGCTGCGGAGCCCTGGGTTCTGTGTCCAGACAGAAGGGAGTGGACTGCCTGTCTCCACTTAGGGCCTATAAGCTGGTGTTTCAGCCCAATGGGGTGTCGTGGAGTGTCCAGTGTCAGATCTGCTTGTCCTGTCTGTCCCTCTAGCCTAGGGTCTGCCACCTCCGCTGAAATTCTGGACCCAGGTCTGAGAAAGGGTGGGAACCAGCCATGTCTGATAGTCTCAGAAGTTGGGATAGACCTAAAGAGGCAGGAAGACGGGAGTAGGAGAGGGGTTTAGCTGGCCTGGAGCCCCTATCCAGGCTTTGTCAGTAACATACCTGCAAGGGCAAGGACTAGAGACCTGAGAGTCAGGCCCTGGCCTCCTCTAACATTGGTGGATAAGACAGCCTTGTCCAGGGCAGAGAGGAGGTCAGGTCCAGGGATGGCAAGTCTGGCAGGTAAGACCTTGGCTTAGGTGCCTGGGGCCACAGATTTTGGGGCCCCTTCCTAGGGAAGTCTGGGGTGCTCAGCTTCAAGGCTCTGTGAGACAGTGCTTTCTGGAACAGCCTTTGGTACCAGGATTAGCAGTGCCAGGCTCTTGGGTCCTTTCAGCACCTGTCTAGGACTCCCAGGTCGTTAGAGCACTGCCCCCTGGGGTGTGGCCCCCTGTCCACAGGATGCTGTGTGGGTGCCTCCCTCAGCAGAGATTTGGAACTTGGGGGAGATTGGGGCAGGAGGAGCCAGCCCCCTGGGAGGGAGTAAACAGTGAACAGTTTCTGGGGCCACTTGGGGGCGCATGGGTCAGAGGCCCTGGAGGGCTCATTCTGCCTTTCGTGCTCTCCAACAAGGGGCGGAAGTTGTGTGCCCACCCACGGCTGGAGATCTACCAGCAAGACCAGATCTATTTCATGTGCCCCCTGGCACGGCAGGGAGACTTCTATGTGCCTGAGGTGAAGGAGACAGAGCGGAAGAGCCGGGGGCCTGCAGAGGTCAGCGACGCCCCGGTGGATGGCACAGGTACAGGGTCGGGGGTGAGGGTGGGGTCTCGCCTGGAGCCCCCCTCCCGGACGTGTGGGCCTGGTGAAGGAGTCTCCGCCCTGGCACTGTCAGTGTCCAGACCTTGGCTTGACAGAGGTGGAAGAAGGGACCCACCTCCCCACGTGCAGAGCTGCCTGTCCCTAGACACAGGGATCCATGTAGGTGTGGCTTCACACACGTTACCCTGGCAATGCAGATAGAGATCCTGCCCAGGATTCCCTTCACCTTCAGATGCAGCAGAGGTACCCTTGGAAGCTCAGATCACAGACAGCTGGATGCTCATGGCGGGGTGGGGGTAATTGCTGAGGCTGCTCAGGAAGGGCATTGCTTGGGTCGGGCTCATTAGAAGTGAGATTGACAACTGGATCTGGAAGGTAAGGAGGGGAACACGATGTCCCTCTGGTCTGGGCCCTGACCAGAGCCAGCTGCTCTCTCCCTTTCAAAGAGGAGCTAGAGCGGACGGCGCCGTGGCTTAGTTGGTTAAAGCGCCTGTCTAGCAAAGAGGAGCTAGAGAGCATGCAGAGGGGAGACAGGAGGTAAGTACCCTGCCCCTTCCATCAGAGCGAGCCTTCCTACCCCAGGACCGGGCCACCAATTTGCTTGCGTGCTCTCAGCCTACCCCTGGGCTGTCCCCAGGAGGCCAGGGGACCTGCTGGTAACATCCCAAGTGGTCTAGAGGGTCTCAGCCTCGGCCATGCTGGAGGAGCCTTGTGGGAATCTGGCGGTCCATGACCTGTGGGAGTGGCATAGGACCAGGAGGAGGGTGACTGTCTTCTTCACCTCCTGCTTTAGGAGGCTCCCTCTGTCCATCCAGTCTTCAACAGCCAAGGTCACCCTGAGAGACATGTGTTGGCGGGAGTGGGGGGCGGGTATCGGGAGGCAGTCTTCACTCCCTAGGGGCCATGTCCAACACAGTTAACTTCATCTGCCACTTAATTACCTCCGTGGGGCACTGCTCCCACCCGCCTGGTAGCGCCTGGCAGTCACTCTTCAGTGCCCCTACTGTGGGCCCAGGACGTGGTACAAGGTCAGCAGACCCTGGCAGTCCCCAGGGCAGGAAGGGGGGCACCCTGACCTTCCTTCAACCTCCCTCTGCTGCCCGCACCCGCCTCCTTGGCCCACCCACCCAGCTCCCCTTCCAAACACTGCCTGCCAGGGGTGTTGAAGGACTACTTGGCACTCGCTCCAGCTGGCTGCAGCCTCGCTGCCACGCCCCCAGCTTCTCGGCCTGTCCTCCCTACCAGCCTGCCTGCCTGCTCCTTGGAGTTGGGGGCCAGAGGGTCTGCCCACCTCTGACAGGGTCTGCCCTGGCACCTGGGGCGGACTCTGGGTGTCCGCCTGCCAGGGGCATGCCACTTGCTCTGCGGTGTGCGGTGGGCGCCTGGCTGCCCAAGACTTGGCCTGTCCCTTTCCGCCTCACTGCTGTGGCCCCCGCTTGGGCTCAGAGGTGAAAGGGGTGATTAACTGCCTTCTGCCTGTTATTACATTGATGTATTATTTAGCTCCAGTTAGGCGATGAATATTTGATATCCTTGCACTGGCTGTGGGCAGTGGAGGAGAGAGGGGCTGAGGTGTGGTGACAGCTTCGTTCTCTGGCTCAGCAGCCTTGGGGGTTTGGGTGCTGCCCTGCCTGGTCTGGCCTGGCCTGCCCGGAGACACAGGCCCAGGACTTGGACTTGCTTCTGCACAGACCCTGATGGAGCTGGAGGGCTGCCCCTTCCCTGCCTTGCACTCCTTAGTTAGGGTGTCCACATGTGCCTGGGGGCTGTTCTCCCCTGGCAGGCTGGCCTGAAGGGGCAGCCCTGGGCTCCTCTGATCACCCCTAGCGGAGAAGCTGGGAGAGGGAGGAGGCAGGCAGCTGGCAAGTAGGCAGGTCCCCACACCTGGGTCCCTAGAGAGCCATTGGCTATGTGGGCAGGTTGAACTTAATTGGGCCAGGGAGAAATCATCCCCCTCTTTTGCTCCGCTCAGGCCTGCAGCCTCTGGGGCACCAGTCATCATTTAAGGAGAGAAAAAGGGACTGCCATCCTGCCCTAGGGCCAGAGATAACCACCCACAACTCAGGGAGCTGTCCTGGCTCACTCTTGAGTGCCTCCACCCTAGGAACCAGGACTGAGGCCCCAGCAAGACGAGGGCCCTGGGCTAGCAACCTAGCCATTGCAGGGCTCACCTCACCCCTGCAGTAGGGCCCAGGGTCAACTGGGGGCCGAGGAGGCTTAGGAAGCAGACCCTTTACACATACCCACCCTGATCCCCAGCTGAGGCTCAGTGAAAGTTCCAGGCCAAGTCCAAATGCCAAGCAGTCCCCAGCTGCACTGGGCTTGGGGCTCCATCACCATGGAAACAGGATCTGGGGAAGCTTGCCCATCCCTCACCTGTGATGTTTGACTGCTGCCCCCTCCCTTTCCCACTGGAAGGGAGGCATGTCCACCTTCTGTCGGTCTGGATTCCTACACACAGGGGGCCTGAGCTCTCTGCCTCTCCTTGCCGACCCCAGCCATTGTTGGTGCCTCTGATCTGAGGAGATGAATTGAGAGGCTGCTCCAGAAGAGGGCAGATGAACCTAGCCTGGAGAATATATTGGGGATGGGTGGACAGGCTAGGATGGATCTCGGGGCCCCCAGCAGGTAGCAGAGTGCTCCCATGGTCCCCTCCTGCTGCTTTGGGGCTCAGGAGCCACTAGGAGTTGGGGATGGGTAAGGGCTCCTCTGGGGTGACCCAGGCATAGAGGAAGAAAGTCCTTAAAATGCTTCATCCCCACACCCACCTCCCCTACAATTGGTTGTTGAGAATTTCTCAGGACTTCTCCATCCCACTCCTGCCCTGGCGTTCTTCTCAAGTTGGGGCTCAGTGTGGGCCAGAGGCAGGGACATGGCTGCCCCTTGGGGAGCCCTGCGTGTGGGGAGGGGCACAGTAGAGCAGGCCTCCTCGTCCCTTCCCCTGTGCTCAGGCCTTCTGGGCAGCGTTCTGGCCTTGGACAAACCCCTCTCTAAGCCTGAAATGGGAAGTGGAGGAGGGGACTCTACTGGAGTCTTTGTTCTACCCTCAGCTCCTCAGGTCAGGGCCGAAGGGTCTTTAATGGGTTGTTGGGGGTCTGGGGGGCGGCAGGCTTTGTGGGAGTTCAAGGAGCTGAGGCTAATTCAGGGCAGGGAGAGGAGTGTACAGCAGGCTGACCTCCTTCCCCTCCCCCACTACCCCACACGGCCCCTGTTCCCTCGCTCCGCCCTGTCAGTGGACGCCCAGGCAGGGCAGAGGGCAGAGGGCAGCAGGAACAAGCCTCCTGGGCCTGGGGCAGCTTGATTATTCATGAGCACACTGTGCAGGCTGAGTCGCTGTTGCTGGTTGGAGAGCCTCAGTCCTCTCCCTGGAGGAGGGGGTGGGGTCCCAGCTAACCTGAGCCCCCCTCTTCCCGCTCCAGGTGCTGACACGATGAGCGACAGGAGTTCTGTAAGCCTGGAGCTGGGTCCTGGCAGCCGGGAAACTTCAGCGGCCACACTGTCCCCCGGGGTGAGCAGCCGCGGCTGGGACGATGGCGACACCCGCAGCGAGCACAGCTACAGCGAGTCGGGTGCCAGCGGCTCATCTTTCGAGGAGCTTGACCTGGAGGGCGAGGGAGCCCTGGGGGAGCCAAGGCTCAGCCCTGAGACTGAGCCCCTGGGGGCTCCCAAGTGGCCCCGGGCGCCCAGTACCCCAGAGAAGGGCGAGGAGTAGCCGCGGCCTGCACCTCCCTGTGGCACCGCTGCTGAGGAACTGAGTGTCTCTGCAGTCCTCCTCTTCCTCCACCTCCCGGTCTCCGGCCAGGGCCAGGGCTCTTGTGCAGCCCTGACTTCTTCTGCCCCAGGCCTCTGGCCAAGCCTTCTCCTCACTGTCCTCTCGGCCCCCAGAGCCAGAGGACCCAGGACTGTTATCTGCACCCAGGCCCTGGGGCTGCTACCCCGTTACATCTTTTTCAGATTCACGTTGAGCTTCCAGGACCCAGAATAAAAACAAATGATTTTCTTGGTTTCACCTGGATTTGTGCTGTAGGTTTGTCTGTTCCCCCTTAGGGAGTCCTGTGCAGATAGGCCCGGAGTGGGCAGGAGCACCCCCGGCCTGAGAAGAGGAAGGTACCCTGGTACCTGGGCTGGGCTGGGGTGGGGGAATTGGAGGCCCTTTACCCCTGCTCTGAGTAGCTCTCCTTGACAGCTGCTCCTCCATTGCAGCAGCCCCAGGGGCTCCCCCAGGCTTCAGGAGAGCAGGCCAGGCGGGACAAGGGGTGTGAAAGCTGAACCTCAGGTGTCCTCTGGGGCTCAAGAGTGGGGAGCTCGCCACCCACCTTTGCCTGCCACAGAGGGACGCCTCTGTGTCCGTAGCTCAGGTGCTGACCCTGGTATTTGCCTAGCTGGTGAGGATATCCCTGTTGTGCCTGCCACTGCCTGTGTGCAGGCACACACACACATACTTTTGGTGTTTTATGTGTAACCACGGATGGGTCAGATGACGGTGGTCCTGGGCGTGGCTGTCTTTGTGTGGATGGCGGTGTGACTGCACATGCTGCTGTGCTCAGCGTCCGACTGTAGTTGTATTACAGGGGAGAGAACCTGGCTGTCTGCAACCATCACTCTGGGGGCTTGTCCATATACAGCTATGTGTGTATGTGTATGGGGGTGTGTCCAAGTGGAAAGCTGTGTGTTTCTCTGTCCATATATAAAACTAGTAGGTCTCTGCAGCTGTGTGTCCACATGTAGAGCTGTGTGTGTGTACAGTTGTGTGTTTGCGTGTAACGCTGTGTGTGCAGCCATGTGCACATGTACAGCTCTTCACGTAAGGCTGGGTGTGTAACTGCATGTCCATGTGCTGCAGCAGGACCGTGCGGCTCACTGGCTGCAGGCTACACACTGGGCCACCCGGGCTTGTGCTGTGTTTAAGGCCTGATGTCTTTGGTGTGGCTGCCTTGGTGGGTGGGCTGGGGTTGCTGTGCCGTCCTCTCACCTCCGCACCCCGCTGCTGTCAACCCCTCTGCTCCAGGGACCCGGCCCATCACTGACCGACCCCAGGGAGCAGCTGCGCTGAGACAGCCGGAGAGGGTGAGAGCAGCGGGAAGTGAAGACAGCATGTCTATCTCCGAGGCCTTGTCTGACAGCTCTGCACCCTTATCCTGCTGCCATCTCGCCTCCCATTAGCGATGGAGTTTGTGTTTGTTTGGGTTTGATGTGTTGGTCTGTCACACAGCTGTGCACTTTCCAGAGCAGTGGGGCATTGGGCTTCTGTGTCCAGGGAAAAAGCCTGTCCTTCCTCAGTGAGAATCCCCCAATCCCACATGTAGCTGTGTGTACCAGAGGCACCTGGGTGTGGTGTGTGCTCACAGGCCTGCGTCCGAGCTGGCCTTGCCTCTCCTGACACCCGTGGAGGAAAGGGCAGCGCCTGGGGAACACGTGTAGAGAGACCCAGTGCTGCTTGCACATGCTGGTTAGTGTGTGTGCAGAGTGGCTCTGGGGCTACATCTCGGTGCAGCACCCACCCCTTCCCAAATCCTTCAGTATAGTCTGGCGATGCTGATTACCCCCCAGCCCCTACTCAGGGGATCCTTTCTCACTCTGCTGCAGGAGGGAACAAGAGTCAAGAACATCTTCTCAGAGCTGTCCTCCCTCTGTGTGGGCTCCAGCTTCTGCTCCTGCCTTCTCCTACACAGCCACGTTTCAGGAGCCTCTTTCCCAGCCCCTTCCCCTCCCAGATCCCCCTGCTGGCTCCAGCCTGTCCCTCAGGGTTGACCCTAAGTCCCTGGGCCTGCAACATCCCCCCCCCCCAAGCCTGGTATCTCTGCCATTAATACCCTTTACACATGAGAGTTGAGATTCGTGGAGGGGGGGTCAGGGGAGGTCAGGGTTGGGGGTGTGTGGGGAGTATAGTAGCTTTAAAGGTCATCTGCAGGAAGGAAAGAAGGTTCTAGCTTCCTCTGACCCTTTCCCCCCTCCCCCGACCCCTTCTCGCTCCATCTCTTCCTTCTAGTGACTCAGGTCCCAGCTCTTAGTCGGGGCTGAAGACATGCCCCCACCCCAGCCCTGGCATGTGGACTGGAATGCAGTATGGGAGTGGGTAGGGAGAAGGGACGTGAGGACAGGGAGGCAACAGGCTAAGCCCTCCCCCTGGTTCCACGTGCCCCATTACCTATCCCCCAGGGGCACCCCACAACCCTAGAGCCAGCCTTCCCGCTCCCACAGATGGAAACCCACAGCACTGTGCGCACCCCACTGGGTGCAGTGACCTTCCCAGCCGCGTGCCTCACGCTCGCTGGCCTTCTGGGACTCAGTCTGACTTGGGGCGGAGGGGACCTGAGGCACCTGCTCTAGCAGAGGGCAGGAGAGCCCGAGGATTCAGCACCACGCGGCGGACAGCGTCGGGCCGGTGCTTCTGAAGAGCAGGGGAGTGTTGCAGGCGTCTGGAGGGAGGCGGAGGCCGTGTTGGGCGCGGGAGATCGGGAGTGGGGAGGGACGGAGGCGGGGTTGGGGGCGGGCCGGGGCCGGGGGCGGGGCGGGCCACGATTGAAATCGGCGGCCGAGCGGGCGGGCAGAGCGCAGAGCTGCCGAGCCAGCGAGCAAGCGAGTCAGCGGGAGCTGGAACCCCGTGCCCCCCGCTCGCTCCGCTCGGTTCTTCTCTACGCCAGAGCGGGGCGCGCAAGGTAGGGTAAGCTGGGTGCTGCTGCGGCCGCTACCGACCATATCGATCCTGACCCCGAGTCCTAGGGTCCCTCGGGCCCTCGAGTTCCGGGGCGCCCGGGGCAGGGACTGGCCAGGGCATCCAGACAGCGCTAGTCAGAAGCTCCGGGAAGCGGGAAGGCAGCCCCAGGCGTCCCGCCTTTCTTCCCCAAAGATCGCACGCCCTGCATCTCACTCCCTCGTTCCTCCTATCCCTCCGTCCTTTGGTCAGTCTTTCTGTCTGTGCCTCTGTCTGTCTCAGCCTTTCAGGCTCCATTTCCCCAAATTTTATGGCCCAGGCTTTCAGGCTGCCCTGCTTCCGAGGTTCTCCCTCCCCTTCAAGGTTCTGTCCCTGTTGGACCGTTGGTCCCAGCCACCCCTGTGGGAGGATTGTGGTTGACTCGTTTGGACTCAGCTCCCACTGGGTCTGTGCCCCCGTCTGCGTTGGTCTTCATGCTTACCTCTCTTCCCTGTTTGCCTGCTTGAGCTGCTTCTTTCTGGGGATGCACAGGATCGCAGTTCCCCTGGCCTGGCCCCAGCAGGAAATTAACCCTGGGGTGCTGAGGGGGCCAAGCGAAGAGCCCCTCTCTCTGTGGCCAGGACATGGGGTCCTTGAACTAGTACTGCCCTGCTTCAGGCTCAGTTTCCCTCGCCTAGCCTTCCTGAGCCCGTGCGATTGTGAGAGCCTGTGTGGCATGGGTGTCTGGGCGGGCAGCTGGGGCACAAATGATGGGGTGCAGAGTGGAAGAGGGAGGCAGGAGTCTCTGAGGGCCAGGGTGAGCAGGGCCCTGAGGCCAAGGACGGCGAGACTGGAGGTGGTGACTTTCTCTGCTTGGTTGTGAATTGCAGAGAAAACGAAGGCAAAAAGTCTCAAATGGCAGTGGCAACCCACACCAGTGTTCTTGCCTGGAGAATCCCAGGGACGGGGGAGCCTGGTGGGCTGCCGTCTATGGGGTCGCACAGAGTCGGACACGACTGAAGTGACTTAGCAGCAAGGCGTCCAAAAGTCTCACCCTGAACCCTCTTCTGAGATTTTGACCAGATGGGCTGCCTGCCACCCCTGACATACACACACACTCGCATCTACTTTCCCTGTTGACCTTAGGACCTGTGGCCACTTCAGTGTCCCTCCCTGGGGCCAGCCTCTCTACCTCGCTGTCTAACTTTCAAGACCTAGAGTCTCTATTTCCTTCCTCAGTCAGGAGGCGAGGCTGGGAACCTTGGGTACTCATTTGAGCTTCCCTGGAGTTCGAGACTACCATTTAGAGCTTCTTCCTTCTTCTTCCCTCGTGGGTTCTCAGCCCTCAATGGCTCCTCTCTGGAAACCCAAGGATGGGGACTGGACCCCCAAGTTTGTAACTGTGACCTTCTGCTGCAAAGATGTTGACTTTGGGGCCCTGGGAGGTTTGTGCAGGGTGTTGGACATTCTTCTGGGTCTTCTGTTTTCTGTTTGGGCCTCTACCCTGTGTAGTTCCTCCACCTTTGCTAAATTTGGGATGAGCACAGAGCCTGTCTTCAACCCCAGATTCAGACAGGGCTGAGGGACAGGCCAAGGGGTGTCCCAGGAGCTTCTCATCCTAGTTAAGGGTACCGGCTCTCCCTGGCTCCTCAGTCCCTGGGAAAGAAGTTTGGGGGAAGCAGAGTCAGAAGGGCTAGCCACTCTCAGGTTCCACTTCTCCCTACCTGTTTGTCTGTCTGTCTGTCTCTCTCTCTGCAGGTGCTGGGTCCCTCCTCATCCCTTTCCTGTCTGTCCTTTCCTGGTCTATTTCCACCTCTCTTTGCTTTTGCTGCTTCTGCCCTCCTCCCCTGGAGGCCCAGGTCTGCCAGACCCATCCATCCCCTCTGGGGCCATGGGATCACTGCTTGGGCTCCTGGCTCTGCTGCTGCTGTGGGGCGCCATGGCTGAAGGCCCAGCCAAGAAGGTGCTGACCCTGGAGGGGGACCTGGTTCTGGGTGGGCTGTTTCCGGTACATCAGAAGGGTGGCCCAGCAGAGGAGTGTGGTCCTGTCAATGAACATCGCGGCATCCAGCGTCTGGAGGCCATGCTTTTTGCCTTGGATCGTATCAACCGTGACCCAAGCCTGCTCCCAGGAGTGCGCCTGGGCGCGCACATACTCGACAGTTGCTCCAAGGACACACATGCTCTGGAGCAGGCACTTGACTTTGTGCGGGCGTCACTCAGCCGGGGCGCCGACGGCTCACGCCACGTTTGCCCTGACGGCTCTTATGCCACTCATGGCGATGCTCCCACTGCCATCACCGGTGTCATCGGCGGCTCCTACAGCGACGTCTCCATCCAGGTACATGGGGCTGTGGAAATGGAGGCTGGGCAGGGAAGCCAGAGAGGGCAGGTACGTGGAATTCCAGCTGAGCAGGGACTCTGGGTTACTATGCACTGGAAAAGGACTAGAGGCTTCCTTTGAGTAGCTTTTTACAGAAGTCTAAGAGAGTGCCCCGGTGGGAAAATGGGGGTCAAGTTTTAGAGATTATGCAAGGAAAACATCCCACTCCCAAGACACACACACACACATCTGGTACTAAACAGCCCTAAGAAGCTTAATAGCCAGGCCTTTTATGTCAGAACTCTAGTTTTGAATCCTGGTTTCTCCACTCACTGTGTGACTCTGGGCATTATTTCTCTTCTGTACCTCAGTTTCATCCTTATAAAATGGGACTCATGATGCTTACCACTCTTAGGGGTGTGGTGGTAACTAATGAGGTAACACATGCAAATCGTGGATCAAGGGGGCTGGCAGATCATAAGGGTGTAATCAATATTAGCTGCTGCTGTTATTAAGCCACTTTATAGATGAGGAAACTGAGGCTTGGAGAGAGGCAGGCCACAAGTCCAGGTGCTCACAAAGTGGAGACATGAACCTGGCTCTCAGCCAAGGACCTCAGGGACTGTCAGATCATCTCTCCGTGTATTGGAAAGGGGGAGACAGAAGCCAAGAGCAACCCAGAGAAGAGAAACAGGGGAGGGGGGCCCCAAAAGGAAGAGAAGCAGGATGTTTGTGGAGGTGAGGAGGAGGGTACCCCAGAATCTTCAGCAAGTGCAGGATGACCAGGTGGGGGGCGGGGGAGAGGGACCAAGGCCCTCCCTCCTGTTCTTCCCACAGGGGGTCGGCAGAGGGCACAACTGATGGCCTTTGGCATGCCTGGCTGAAGGGGCCCAGGGGGATCCTCCTTGTCCTTGACTGGGTTCCACCTCTTGCCTGTACCCTTACCTGTCTGGTGCCAGCCTAGGCTGCTGGAAGGTGAGGCCAGAGCTGAGATTGGTGTTGGGAGTTGCAAGGAGGGTCTCGTCTGGGGGCCTCAGCTGCCTCAAGGAGGCCAGCAGAGGGCATTGCCATCAGAAACCAGGCTGGGCCCCCTGACCCAGAATGCTTATTTAGGAGAGAGGAAGCAGGAGTCTGAACCGTGGAGGCAGCTTCTGGCCTGGGGTGGGGAGGGAGGCCCGCTCACACCCCTATTGCAGGGAATGAATTACCGGTTCTGCTAGGCTTGCTACTGGACGTGGCCAGTTGTAGCTTGGACAGGCGTGGCTGCACCAGCACCTCCATCTGTAGCCTGGGCTGGGGACAGGGATGGGGAGGCAGCCTCCCACTGCTGGTATCTTCAGGGGCCTCTGGGGTGCTTTCCCAGCACACCCTCTGCACAATTCTTTTAAGGGCCCCTTGTATTTACCTCCAGGAGCTCAGATACCTCTGCCTCACCCCAAGCTGCCTGCCTCCCACAGCAGGGCCCACAGCTCAGCATTCATCTGCTTTTTCCTTGTCTGGGTCAAAATAGGCTCAGTCCTTTATCCTGTGGCTGCACCTGTCTGGAATGGTTCATCCACATTCCTGCCCCTTCTCTCGTGCTGAAATCCCTATCATTTTCCAGGCACTGTGACCTCATGTGCATCATTATTCTTAATCTGCTCAGCAAACTTGGAAGGCAGGATGAGAAACTGAGGTTCAGGGGGATTTGCTAACTTGCCCAGGGGTGCAGAGTCAGACAGTACAGGGAAGGAACTGAGACTGTCCGAGTAAACATCTATGTCCCAGAAGCAAATAGAGGACCTGACTCCCTCTTGTGGAACCTGGGCCACGCCTCTCACCCACCATGCCACCAAGTTCTTGGCTGGACCCCACTCTTAGGGGCACATCCCAGGGATCTGAGGCTGAGAGACTGGCTGCCAGGTAGGCAGGAAGCCTTGTTAATTTCAGACTCAGGCATCCAGTAGAGACCCACTCTTGGGCTCTCAGGGCTATGGAGCTCTCAAATCTTAGTCTTCCTTCTTCAGGGAGCCTTTTCCTTCTCTTTCCATCATCCCATCAGCGTTGACTCTGGGGTAGAGAGCTTAAGACCCCTGAGCATCCCAGAGGCCATGCAGTGCCTCTTCCCTGTGCAGCCAATGGCCAACCTATCTCTACCCAGGACTTAGGTTTTTCCTTAGCTCTCTCCTTTTGCTACAGCTGTTCATCTGAAGGGAGACAGGGGAGGGGTTTGAGTGTGGCTCAGGACCCTGGTGCCTTGGCCCTAGGTCTTTCTGAGCCCTTAGGAAGGGACAAAAAACTTGCTGTCCCCAGGGAGAAGACACATCAAACGATGTAGGTCTTTGGAGAGAGGGAGACATCATAGATGACCACATGGGCACTTGATCCCAAAGTCTGATATCTGGGTTGAGGGGCACAGCTGTCTCCAGCATTTGACTTGGTCTCTATCTCTATCTCTCCACCACCCCCCTCCATGCCCGCCCCACTGCAGGTGGCCAACCTCCTGCGGCTATTTCAGATCCCTCAGATCAGCTACGCCTCTACCAGTGCCAAGCTGAGTGATAAGTCCCGCTATGACTACTTTGCCCGCACAGTGCCTCCTGACTTCTTCCAAGCCAAAGCCATGGCTGAGATTCTCCGCTTCTTCAACTGGACCTATGTATCCACCGTGGCATCCGAGGGTGACTATGGTGAGACAGGCATTGAAGCCTTTGAACTAGAGGCCCGCGCCCGCAACATCTGCGTGGCCACCTCGGAGAAGGTGGGCCGCGCCATGAGCCGCGCAGCCTTCGAGGGCGTGGTGCGAGCCCTGCTGCAGAAGCCCAGTGCCCGCGTGGCTGTCCTGTTCACCCGCTCCGAGGATGCCCGTGAGCTCCTCGCTGCCACCCAGCGCCTCAATGCCAGCTTCACCTGGGTGGCTAGCGATGGCTGGGGGGCCCTGGAGAGTGTGGTGGCAGGCAGCGAGGGTGCTGCTGAAGGCGCCATCACCATAGAGCTGGCTTCCTACCCCATCAGCGACTTTGCCTCCTACTTCCAGAGCCTGGACCCGTGGAACAACAGCCGGAACCCCTGGTTCCGTGAGTTCTGGGAGCAGAGGTTCCACTGCAGCTTCCGACAGCAAGACTGTGCAGCTCACTCCTTGCGGGCCATGCCCTTTGAGCAAGAGTCCAAGATCATGTTTGTGGTCAATGCGGTGTATGCCATGGCCCATGCCCTGCACAACATGCATCACGCCCTCTGCCCCAACACCACCCGCCTCTGTGATGCAATGCGGCCTGTCAACGGGCGCCGCCTCTACAAAGACTTCGTGCTCAACGTCAAGTTCGACGGTAATGGTGCCGGCCAGGTCCACCAGGCTGCTGTCTCTCGGAGGGTGAGAGGGAGCAGGCCCTCAGGTTCTAGCACATGGCTAGGAAAATACAACCCACCGCAAGTCAGGGATTTACCCAAAGGGCTGGTGTCAGAGTTGGGACAAGGCCAGCCAGGCAGGGAAGACTCCAACAGGAGCCAGGTCTGAGGTGCCACTTCCTGACATCCTTCCAGAGAGTAGACATCTGGCCTGGCTCTGCACTGTGAGGGTCTCTGCTTCCTGCTTGGGCCTTGCCTTCTATCTCCTGCCTCTTATCATGCAGGGAGTAGAGATCGGGAGACCTCAAGCCCATTGTAAGGCAGCAGGATATCAGAGACAGTGAGAATAAAGGTGCATCAGGATGACCCTCTATTTTTCAGGAAAATTTCTATTCCTAATCTTGCTTTTCCACTCAAGGTGGCCATGGTCTCTTCAAACCAAAAGTTATCTTAATAGAAGTTCCAGCTTCAAGAAAAATAAATGCCACAGAGTCATCGCTGTGCTTCAGAAAGAATGACTGCAGGAACAGTGAGAGAGGGTGCCAGAGCTTGGAGCTCTGGATCAGGATCAAGAAGAGTAGCAATTCCTATAAGATTGACATTCAGAGTTATGGGAGAGTCAGGCTGGGGGTTGCTGTTGCATTTGGGTCTGATTGGGTTGACATTAGAACAAGGCTAAATTTAGCCCTCTGGGCTAAGTGGAATTTATAGTAGGGCTCAAGTTGGATTTTGAGGACTTCGAGGACTGGGTAGAAAGAGGAGAGGCTGTGAGGGACCTGCATTTGACTCCACGCGGCACCATTCACCTTGGGGTCTTAAGCATATCATCTGCTAACTTGAACACCATTTGTTACTGGGACCTGGGATGATGGGGTCCCTGCCTTCTCAGCCTGGTTGGGCGATGTGAGGATCACAGGGGGATGGGGGTGGGGAGTGGAGTGATTAGCGAGCTGCCTGCCAAGCACACCTAGAAGGAATCCTCCAGGTGACCACTGAGGTTGGGATTTACTTATACTGCAATCAGTGTTAGGACTGGTGGGGGGCTGGAGATATCACTGATGGGATTAAGTAGGACCAGGACTAGACCTAAGGTCAAGTTTAGCTTTTGGGCGTCTCCATGTTAAGTTTGGAGAAAGGGCTGTGGTGTGTTTTGGGATACAGTTGGGGTCTGGGTTGGAAGGTCTAAGACTGGGTTTTGGGAGTCATGGTTGGGTTGGTGTGAGCATTAGGTTTGTGGAGATGCCTGAACTTTAAGGCTGGGGTTCTGTTTAGGGGCTTGGGGTTGGGGTCTGTTATTTATTTAGGCCTCTCATTTGGAAAAATGGCTGAGGTTAGGCAGGCTTTAGTGCTGGGGCGAGGATCAGAAGGACAAGGGACTTCAGCTCTGGGGTTTGGGTTCCATGTTAGGGCTGAGGTCACATCAGGATGACCCAATCCAACCCTCTCTTCCTTCCCTCCCCAACCCCAGCCCCCTTCCGTCCAGCTGACACCCACAGTGAGGTCCGCTTCGACCGCTTTGGGGACGGTATTGGTCGCTACAACATCTTCACCTACCTGCGTGCAGACGGTGGGCGCTATCGCTACCAGAAGGTGGGCTATTGGGCAGAAGGCCTGACCCTGGACACCAGCCTCATCCCGTGGGCCTCACCCTCAGCCGGTCCCCTGCCTGCCTCTCGCTGCAGTGAGCCCTGCCTCCAGAATGAGGTGAAGAGCGTGCAGCCAGGGGAGGTCTGCTGCTGGCTCTGCATTCCCTGCCAGCCCTACGAGTACCGGCTGGATGAGTTCACCTGCGCCGACTGTGGCCTGGGCTACTGGCCCAATGCCAGTCTCACTGGCTGCTTCGAGTTGCCCCAGGAATACATCCGCTGGGGCGACGCCTGGGCTGTGGGACCTGTCACCATCGCCTGCCTAGGCGCCCTGGCCACCCTGTTTGTCCTGGGTGTCTTTGTGAGGCACAATGCCACCCCTGTGGTCAAGGCCTCGGGCCGAGAGCTCTGCTACATCCTGCTGGGCGGCGTCTTCCTCTGCTACTGCATGACCTTCGTCTTCATTGCCAAGCCTTCCACAGCGGTGTGCACCTTACGGCGCCTCGGTTTGGGCACTGCCTTCTCCGTCTGCTACTCAGCCCTGCTCACCAAGACCAACCGCATTGCGCGCATCTTCGGTGGGGCCCGGGAGGGAGCCCAGCGGCCGCGCTTCATCAGCCCTGCCTCGCAGGTGGCCATCTGCCTGGCCCTTATCTCAGGCCAGCTGCTCATCGTGGCCACCTGGTTGGTGGTGGAGGCCCCGGGCACAGGCAAGGAGACAGCCCCTGAGCGGCGGGAGGTAGTGACATTGCGCTGCAACCACCGCGATGCAAGCATGCTGGGCTCACTGGCCTACAATGTGCTCCTCATTGCCCTCTGCACACTCTATGCCTTCAAGACCCGCAAGTGCCCCGAAAACTTCAATGAGGCCAAGTTCATCGGCTTTACTATGTACACCACCTGCATTATCTGGCTGGCCTTCCTGCCCATCTTCTATGTCACCTCCAGTGACTACCGGGTGAGCAACCTGCTCCAGGGCAGGCTGAGGTGGGGGAGAGGGGGCAGAGCAGGACACGGGACCTTCTGTTTCCTGGTACCTCCTGTTTCCTGGTACCTCCCTCACTGAGTCTTCTGATAACTCTGAGGCTCCAACAGGTTAAATGCTCACCCAGGAGCTCACAGCTTATGGTGGCCCAGTTGGGACTGGATCCCAGGGCAAGGTGGGAAGGCTGAGTGGGGCCTAGAAGGAGTCCTGGAACTGAACTCTGCAGTGCAGTCAGGTTGGAATAGGTAGGGTCGAGGTGGGGAGGACAGTCAATATGGAAACTGATTGGAGCAGAGGGTCTGCACTGCCCTCCCCACTGCCCTCTGCCTTGAGTTGTGGTGGGGGGTGTACATGATGGAAAGGTAGGCAGAGGTGAGAAGGAGGCAGGAATGGGAATGGCAGGGCGGGGCTGTGGAGCCAGCATCCCCAAAGAGTGTGATGCTCTGATGCCCCTCAGAGCTGGGCAGTGTGACGGGGCACCCCTGGAGCTGTGTGACTCTGGGGTTGAGAGATGAAACCAGGGAATTCAGGAAAGGTGAAGCAAGGAGCGGGAGGTGATCTGGGATGTAGAGCTTGGGAAGGTCAAAGCATGTGAAAACTGTACCCCAGTTGGTGACTTCCAAGCAAAATTCCAACTGACACTGAATGCTCCATGGGTCTGCTCAGCTTCAAGGGACAATGGCTGCTTCAGATGGGGCGCTCAGGGAAGGCTTTTCCAAGGAGGTGACAGGTGAGGGGTGCTCTGAACAATAAGAGGATAGTCTTCAGTGGTCCTCATGACTCTGTAGTAAATTCCATGACTCTCCCCATTTTACAGATGAAGAAATGGAGACTCAGGGAGGTTCAATCCCTTCCCTTAGGTCACTCAGCATGGGAGTATAGAGCAGGGTCTGAGCTGACAATCTTAACAATTAAAGGAGCAGGAATACTGAGGCAACAGCCCCTGCAAAGGCCCCCTCCCTCAGGTCAGAGGTATGGTGGGCAGGGCCAGGGCCAGGGCCAGCTGGGCTTGGCTGCTCGTGCTCCTGCTGGGCCACCTGCCTGGGCAGTGGAGGATGAGCTGGGGAGGGAATCTGCTCTGACTCAACCTGTATTTGCGTATCATTTGCACTTGCATGTCAGTCATAAGTGGCTAAGTACTCAGCCGGGAGGTACACACACCGACCCCAAACATGCATGCACACACAGGTATCCCTATATTCACACACATGTGCACATACCTGCACACCTGGCATGCATCCACATCTACCCACCTACACACATCCGTACACATGCATCCTACACTTTCACACACAACTGCCTACTCTCACCATCCGCTATACACACACCCACATACAGATACACATGCGACTACATGCCGGCACTCCATGCCTGCACCCCCCCCCACAGACACATGTCTGCACACACACTCCCATGCATACATGCACCTTGCATGTTCACCCTAACCCCACAGCTAGAACTTTGGTCTTCCTGGAAGACGGTGCACTGAGGCTGATGCTGGGACTGTGCCCAACCTTCCTAAAAATTCTCTGGGACTTGACAAATGGACCAAGGCCCAGGGCTGGATGCTTACGGTCCCCACTGCTGGGACCCCACCACCTGGGCAGGGTTCCCAGGGCCAGGGCCAGGCCTTGGGACAGACTCATCCCTGACCTCTCCCACTGCAGGTGCAGACCACCACCATGTGCGTGTCGGTAAGTCTCAGTGGCTCTGTGGTGCTCGGCTGTCTGTTTGCACCCAAGCTGCACATCATCCTGTTTCAGCCGCAAAAGAACGTGGTCAGCCACCGCACGCCCACCAGCCGCTTCGGCAGCGCAGCTGCCAGAGCCAGCTCCAGCCTCGGCCAAGGTCAGCGTCCATCTATGATAAGCCCCCGCCCCAACTCTCAGCATGGGGGCCGCTTCCTGGGTTGCTGAGACTCTTTGGCTAGGGGTGGAGTGCCCCCTAGATGAGGCTGAACAGGAGTGGGGTGGGGGGGTGGTGAGCTACTCTCCGCAGTCCTGCCTCCCTGATGCCCACTGACTGAGGGACCTCAAGACTAGCCCCAACCTCCAGTTTCCTTTTCCTAGGGTCTGGCTCCCAGTTTGTCCCCACTGTTTGCAATGGCCGTGAGGTGGTGGACTCAACAACATCGTCGCTTTGAGGATCCCCACACTCCTTCCCTGACATGGCTGCTCCCTGGAACCCGGTGCAGACCCGTGTCCAGGGCCAGGAGGAAGATGACTGGAGCACTGCAATAATGCCAACCCTGTGCCCACCCCCAGCACCACTCACCACCCTACTTACTCCAACCCTTTAGAGTCAGAAGCTGGGATCCCTGGCCTGGAAGCCTCAATAATGACCACCAACTGCCCTTGTAGCTGTGTCCCCTCCTTGCCAGGCCCAGGACTTGGAAGGGAGCAAGCCAGGGTCCACTCTGCCCTGGAATAGAGTGGCTGAGGACTGCAGGCCCCAATCCCCAATCAGTAAAGGTGCTTCCAGCCCTACCCCTCCCCCTCCTTCTAGGGCCTTTTACATTTTTTATATAACTTATTTTGGGATGGGGAGGGGGGTTAAAATGGGGACTGTCCCTCCTCCTGCACAGTAGTTTGTCCTGTGGTTTATTTTGTATTATCTGTAAATGAAGTGTCTTTATTAAAAAAAAAAAAAAGAAAGAAAATCACACTTTGCCTCTGATCCAGGGAGGTCCTTTCATCCCCGCCCCAGCCTCTCAGTCTTCATTTTGCTAGAATTTGTTCACTCTGCCCTGTGCCTGTGCTAGGAAGACTGAGTCCCACCTGATGGAGAGACAGAAAATGAATAAGTCATCCTTCCTTGAAAGGAGCTGCTACAGACTGGCCAAGGCACCACTGGGGTGAGGATGGGAGGTTTAAATGGATACAAGTTCATCTGGCTGTCTAGGGCAGAACCTGGGCAGTGCGAGTGATGCAGCAGGAGAGGCAGCTGACTGTGACCCTTGCTCATGCCTAGCATTTGAGGAGCCTTTGGTCAGCGCAGAGCCAGGCTGGACATCTGAGGTGGAGGGAGCCAAGAGGAGGCAAGAGGAGGCTTGAGCATCGTGAGGGAGGAGGAGGTGGGGCAGAGAGGGGAGTTGGAAAGGCCATCTGCTGTTAGTCTGATGAGAGGAGGAAGAAGAGGCCTTTCTCTCTCCCTGAAGGAACTTGCTCAGCTGTTGGATGGTGGAGCCCAGGGTCCTTGGGCAGCCCCCGAGATTGCAGTCTGGAATTTACCAGCAGAGGGCGCTGAGGCACAGGCTCAGCCGCACTGCGCAGGCAAGTAACCGCTGTCCTGTGGCCTAGGGGACTGTGGGCACCACAGGAGCCGAGGAACCTCTTTGGGGGAAGCCCCAGAGTGCGGTATCTCAGAGGAACAAAGTCCTGCACTGGGAGACGGGCAGACCAAGGACATTTGTTATTTCTAAGTGAATTCATTTGCATCTATAGACTAGTGAGGCTGTGGGCTAACAATTTAACTTTGGGCTAACAATTTAAGAAATGAAAACAGAAAACTGAAAAAAGAAAATTGTAGGAGTGGCTTTCCCTCTCGAGCCAATATTTGGGGTGTAGGGATGCCAAATAAAATACAGAATGCCCAGTCAAGTTTGAATGTTAAGTAAACAATGAAAGTTTTTTTTTTTTGGTATAAGTATATCCCATATTTGGGGTATACTTATACTAAACATTTTTATTTTTTATCTGACATTCAAATTTAACTGGGCGTCCTGTATTTTCGGGCTTCCCCAGTGGCTCAGCGGTAAAGAATCTGTCAGCAATAAAGGAGGAGTAGAAGACTCGAGTTCGATCTCTGGGTCACGAAGATCCCTGGAAGAGGGAATGGTAACTCACTCCAATATCCTTGCCTGGAGAATCCCATGGACAGAAGAGTCTGGTGGGTTACAGTCCATGGGGTCGCAAAGAGTCGGACATGACTTAGCGACTAAACAATAACAAACATGGTTCACAGCTAAAAAGGTACAACGGGTAGTCAGTGAAGAATCTCCTTCTATCCATGCTACCCATCCAGAGAGAAGGGCCCAGAGGTTGGGGGTGGGGAAGAATGGCAGGAGGCGAGTGAAGAATTCCTAAAGTCGGTGCTCAAGTCTGTGGGCCACATCCCTTTCCTTCCCCGGGCCCCTCCTCCGTTCCCTCGCTTCTCATCCCCACGCCACGACAGCTGTGGTAATCGGAGAATCTCACCTCACCCCTCCTCCTTTAGACCAGCCAACACCAGGACTCCGCTCAGGGAGGGGACATGGCGGGGCGAGGTGGAGGCACCGTGTCTGCTATTAGGGGGACAGAGGCCCCGGCGTCCCTTCGAGGACCCTTCCAATCGGGCAACCCTGGAGAGAGACCGGCGCGGCAGCAAATGAGGGTTACCGCGGGGGCGTGGATCCCGGGGGCGTAGCCCCCGAGAGGGAGGGAGGGAGAGAGAGAGAGAGAGAGAGAGAGAGAGAGAGAGACCCAGTCCCGCCCCCGCCGCGTCGCCATAGGGCGAGGCTGGGTAGGGGCGGGGCCGGCTGCTGGCCGCTGTGGCAGACCGCAGAGGGGGCGGGCTGAACTCCGCGACCGAGCGCGACGGTGCGAGAGGCCGCGCAGCGAACGTTAGCGTCCAGGACGACGCGGCGCGGAACCTCCCGGCTCCCGACACCCAGACGGCTTGTGGCGCCAGACGGCTCTTGAAGGGACCGCGGCAAGGCCACAGCGCGAAGTCTCTCACAGTCCGTTTAAGTAAGGCTGAATTTTGTATTTCCACACAGTTGAACGTCCTGGCGGCTAATTAAATGGTGAATAAGGCAAATCCTGAGGGAAAGCTCCTATGGTTGCGGTCCCACAGGTAGCCTGTGAGAATGGCTGGCAGCTTTTTTCTGACGTACCTTGCAGCAGTGAGAAGTGCAGGAGCGACCGGCGAGGTTGAAAAGTATCTGACAGAGCTCTTTCCCCCTATTTCCAGCGGAGTGAGGCGTGAAAGGAAGAGTAAGCTTGGGATGAAGAGAGACAGTTGAAGCTTAAGGTCAGCTTTAAATAAGTCCGTCAGCGAAGCTGTGGGGAAGGGGAGGTGTTACACTCTTAACTGTGTGCCTTGAAATTTTCCTCTTTTTCTCTAGTGTGCCTCATGACCCAGTCACCCGCTGGAGGGAGGTGTGTTTGTGTTTAATGGAGGGAATTTTAAATTTTTATGTATTTTTGACCACACTGGGTCTTGGCTGTTGCGCTGGCTCTTTCTAATTGCGGGTAGCGGGGGCTACTCTTCGTTGCAGTGCACGAAGGGGTACTGGGCTGATGGCGGTAGCTTCTCTTGTTGGGAAGCACAGGCTTTAGGGTGCGCGGGCTTCAGTAGTTGCGGCTCCCGGGCTTCGTTGCACGGCGGTATGTGGAATCTTCCCAGATCAGGAATCGAACACCTGTCTCTTGCATTGGCAGATAGATTCTTTTTTTTTTTAATTATTTATTATTATTATTGGCTGTGGTTGGTTTTTGTTGCTGCGCGGGTTTCTCTAGTTGCGCCAGAGGCGAGCAGAGGCTACTGTGTGCTTTGAGGACACGCAGGGTTCTCAGTGCGGTGGCTTCTTGTTGCGAACAACAGGCTCTAGACTCGCGGGTTTAGTTGCTCCGCGGCATGTGGGATTTTCCCGGACCGGGGGTGGAATCCGTGTCCCCTAAATTGGCAGGGAGATTCTTAACCACTGGACTACCAGGAAAGTCCTGGAGGGAAATTTCTTGTGGTAAACTGTTGGTAGCCGTCAGCCTGTCTGGGTGGACCTGGTTCTCTGTCAAAAGGGGGCTTGGGTGAGGGTGGTTCAAGCCACTCTGCTCGCTGCGCCTCATGGCCCAGAGTAGGGGGGCAGTGAGCCCTCCGCCGAGGCAGATCCTTGAGGGAATATGGCAACCCAAGAAGTTAGTGATGTATTGATAGCAGAGGTGTCGGGGACCAAAAGTAGAGCTGAGGGATTGACACAGAGCCTGGAAGAAGATTCAAGCTCTTCCACTGGCCAAATTGTGTCAGGAAGTTTGCCGCAGAGCTCCTTTCTGGTCAGAGCTCTCTGTCCATTCCTCCGCCTTCACTGTGACTGCTTTCACTTCCGCTCCTGGGGGCGGGGTTCGTGAGAAGTAGCGGGGAAAGGAAGGGACGCTGAGGGTCTGAAAAAAAAAAAATGTGCCCACCCCAGCCACCTGCAGAAAAAGGGAAGGAGCCTACCATTCCCACCCTTGTGGGCCAGCGATGGCATTTTCTCAGTCTAGGGAAGAGGGGCTAGAACTGGGGAAAGCAGGGGAAGGAGAAAAGGGGGTGGGGTGTTAAAGGGAGTGGTAAGAGAGGTAAGAGAGGAGAGGTAAGAGAGGAGAGGTAAGAGAGGAGAGGCAACTGGGGGTTGGGGAAGGCGGGAGGAGCAAGAGGAAGAAAGTAAACATGAACGCTTTAAAACTGAGGACTCTTGCCAAGGTGTCAGGGTTTTTTTGTTTGTTTGTTTTGGTTTTTGTTTTAAAGAAAAATCGCTTTATTCTTTCTGTGAAAAAAATTCTCATAAACAATTTAAGCAGAAAAGTACAAAATAAAAATATTGCCTCGTTTCATCACTCAAATATAACCATCATTGACATTTCTTTTACAGCATCCTAAACATATTTCTGTGCATTTTTACAGATAGAATGGAGATAGATATACTTTCATAAAAATGGGATTGTGCCATATGTTTATTATTTTTTTTTACTTAAGATTTACTTTTACTTTATTCTAATTGAAGTGAATGTGAAGTGAAACTGAATAAACTCTGAACTTCACATACATTTCTTCACCTCTAAAGATATTTTTCCCCTGAAAGATCTCTGTATGTTTAAGAAAAGAGACAGTGACATTTAGAGGTGAATATTCCTTTAGTCTCAGGGAATTGAAGGACAGTTTGACCTGTGGTCAACCTTCTTGCAACATGAACAAGAGGAGGATGAGTAAGAGGAGGATGACGTTTCTGAGGCACACTGCATCTGGTCCAAGGGTTGCTGATTGTCTAAGCTGTCATTGGTGCATTGCCAATGCAAAGATGGGTGCAAGGCAGACGGACACAGGTGCTATGGGGCTGTTGAGGTATTTCAGAGAAAGGAGCCCAGACACTGTAGCTTTTCTGTGCTTGTGTCTGTACTCATGTTGGTT